AATGTTAAAATCTAAGTATTTCATATTTTTTTTTATTTGGGCTATTTTACTTTCCTCGGGTTATTATATTGAATTTTTCTATATTCTTAAATAACTTATGCATCAGACAATTTTAAAGGATAAAGAATGATGCCAATTCGTATAATTCACACAACAATTATAACAATGTTGTGTGTGCAGCGTGGTGTTTATCGATGCAGAAATTACTATCCAATTCCAGCTGAGAGCATTGAGTTCAAATAACCTTGGAAAAGGTATGAATCTATTTCTTTTCACCTGCTCCCAGCTATGGGGTAAATAGTAATGCAGACTGAGCTTTCAAGCTCAATCATTCCAATATAAAGATTGATGTATATTTTGTACGGCTTATGCATCCCCCTTAGTCTGTTATTTAAAGCCGACACATATTTCTGATTGTAAGATTTGCATGTTAATTTTAACGTCTCCAAATCAAAATTTCACTCTATTAATCATCCGAGAGACTTTTTTTTGCTTCCCAAACACATGGCTGATGCTAACATCCATGAGAGTGACTCGTTGCACCTTCTAGGGCTAACATTCTCGGCTGAGTAGTCTTTTCATTGTTTCTAAGATATTTTTTTTTTCTGTTTAACACTTTGATTAACTTTTGGAAGATGTCTTTCGCTATGCCAATGCGTCTTCGAATTTTTGTGCCGGACTTTTAGTCCCCTATTAAAACACTTCCTATTTAATTTTGTGTACTCGTTTGAGTTTGGTATCTCCAATTCGTTATTTGCGTGTTGGGTTGTTTCGTTTGCTAACAACCATGCATTCTTTCTTCTTGATGTTTAGCCGTTCCTTCTCACTTTCCTCCAGGAAGAGTTCTTGTAATTTCTGTTCTGTGTCCATCAAACTACAAAATATAACTGAAAGAGAATGAAGAATGAGTTAACTGGCTAGAATTTTCAATCAAATTGGGGAAAATAAATAAACGTTGGTGACAGTTGTCATAATGGTTATACGAGCGTTTGGAAAAGCCTTGAAAATTGCTGTGTTCGGAAAATAAAACATCACTATATCTCTACACACAACCCATACATTTATTTGAAATAAAATATATTTGATAATGAGTAAAAGTGTAGCCAAAAGCGTTCGGAATTACAGGACATTTGGACAGTTTCTATGTGCCCAGGAAAGAAACAGTCGTTCAAATATAAGGAAAATTAAATAAAAAAATTAATAGCAGTACCTTGTCGCTCGTCTTTAATGAAACACACACCCCCACACACACACACACACACACACACACACACACACATATATATATATATATATATATATATATATATACTCGACTTTCCCGTCGAATTCGACGTATGAGGGTCAAGCAGATCAGTTCCTTGGAAAACGACAGCCCGACAACGGAACATGAGATTTGATTATAGTGGTGAAAGTTTCGTACAGGACCATCCACACTTTTAGAAGTGCCAAATACAGAGACCTGATGCCCCACGTGTCACAAAGTTCCCAAACGACCCTCCGTAGGTTTTGAATTCAGAGTTGTCCTTCTCCTAGACCAGTTGCCATCCAAGGCTATAGAACCCAGTCTGTCCTGCTATATACCCATAGCTGGAGGGAAGAGAAGAGGATTCACACCTTTGCCAAGGGTATTAGCACGTAAGTGAATGTAATGGATTCGACTGGAATTCGAACTCGGCTCTCCGGTTTCTCAATCAAACCGCTATTCATCACTTCACCGTGCCTTTCTTTTCTCTTCTCTCTCTCTCTCTCTCTCTCTCTATATATATATATATATATATATATATATATATATATATAGAGAGAGAGAGAGAGAGAGGAGAGGAGAGAGGGAGGAGGGGGAGGCACGGTGGAGTAATGGATAGCGGTTTGGATTGAGAGATCCGAGTTCGAATATATATATAGTTACTTTCCCATCGCCGTACTGTAGCTTTTCTGGATCTTTTCACTAAATATTTTCATAGTAATTGTTCCGATGTAGACTTTATGAATTTAAGTTTACTACTAGATTGGTGGCAAAATCTTATCATTTTACAGGTGAAATTGCTCGATGTAACCATAAGTTGTATGCTTTCTTCTCTCGTATTTCCCGATTGCATAATTCTCTCCCGGCTTGTTGCTATCCAATCAATATAAATCGTTATCTTCTGTTTTCTTAATTCATGTTCTTATATTGTTCTCTCTACTTAACGATGTTTTCTTTTCTCATATTTTATCACACTCAGTAACCCCTTGCCTCTTAGTAGCTTAATTACGTTGCTTGGAGTGAAATAAATATAAAAAAATCGAGATATAAAATCATAAATTGTCATTTAAGGAACAACTGAACATTATAAAATGTAATAACTTGCATGGCTTAATAAAAAGCAGTGACGAAATACTTTTAAACACTCGACCAGTTTACACAAGCCTTATGCAAAAACGTAAAAAGAATGTGAAATCTTTCGAACGTCAAAATAATGATATATTTTGAAAAAACAGCTATGTATGGATTTGTTAGTTGTTTTAGTTTAGCGACATATTAACCTCTATGGGCGATTTAATGCTGACATCTAAATATTTGGTAGGCAACTTACAATTTTCAACTACAAATATTTTCTTTATACTTATATAATTTCAGAACAAACGTGTATATATATATATATATATATATATATATATATATATATATATATATATATATATATAAACACGTTTGTATATGAGAAAATCGTTCCATCGAGCTTATCTAATATTTTGAAATCATCTTTGAATTACTTTATAACATGGAAGACTTCAAGCTTATACAAAAATATAAGAATCTATTGATCTCCGCGTATTCCTATAAGAACAGAAAGGATTTCTTAACGAACTGTTTATATGAGAAAATCGTTCAATCGAGCTTATCTAATATTTTGAAATCATCTTCGAATACGTTTTCACAACATCGCCCACGTAACGACGACATGATCATGTTAAAACGGAACGCTGATCTTATAAAAAAAAAATCAGTTATCTGTTTGGATCAGTTTTACTCTGATGTCCATCGTCTTTTTCATGTTGAATTGAATATAGTCTAATGCTAATTATGTTTTATGAATATGTCCTGAAGATGGTCTATTAGACCGAAACGTCCGACGTTGACATTATATTAACATTAAAACAGCATAATTACATATTAGGATTTTTGTTTGTTTTTCCGTATATTTTTCTTCATATATATATATATATATATATATAGTTTGTAGTTTGTATTGTTGGTAATTTATTTAAAATTGTATTACTAGCAACTTTACTATAAAAATGTAGTTTTGCATTGATTGTCATTTTGTTATAAAAATGTATTGCTGATAATTTCACTAGAAAAATGTAAATTCTTTTTTTTAGAAAAATATATTGCTGGTATTTTTACGACGTTTTGATTTTTATTTGTGGGTTCATTATTTACCAATAGTTGGGACCCTAATAGGTCAGAGTTTTTTACGAACAACTGAAAGTAAGTGGTGGTTCCACGCTCCTCAAATCTTTCAATCAGAGGCCGCCATGTAGATGGATGTAGTTTATCGTTTGTATTCATGATTACATAATGTATGAATCTAGTTGAAAATAGATATCTACATAAAAAAATCTATGAGTTCAAATGCCCCTTTAAGGAACTGTATTCCTGATCAAACCAGACTCATAAATAATTACATAGGTTACACAACCGCATGCTTATCCAGACGTCTTACGTTGCACCTATCTGTTCACAGCTCCATTAGAACCCATTTAAACACACACACAAATTTACCCGATTCCATTAGGAACATACTAGTAGAAAACACAAATATATTAACTGCATCCACCTGCATAAAAGACTAAAAATAATGGAAGCTTTAATAATAAAAAAGAAAAAGCCAACTCTTAACAATATTAACTACGAACAAAGCCATAATGTGCTAACCGTATTCGGAAATTAAAAACATCCCTACCACACACTAATACATACACAGAACGTACACACTCAATTAAGCTGAAAATCGAACCATCCTTGATAATGGCTAAAGTTATTGCCGAAAGCGCTCGGAAATATAAAACATTTGGACAGTTCTTACACACCCTTTGTCCAGAAAAGAAGGCTCTTGTCATAACACAAGAAAAATTAAATAAAAAGCTCAGCCGTAGTACCTTGTCTGTCGTTTTTAATGAAACATGCATAAAGGAAGGATTGCTGCCTAAATATAGAACTATAAAAATATTATGTATGTATGCAATCATTCTGTTGTTTAGACAGGTGGACATTAATTTAAGTATAAAAAAGGGAATATTGAATTAAACCCATGTATGCCTAAAATACCATTTGCAGTAAAAGAAATAGCTTTGTATTCATTAATACTTATTTTTTTGTGTGTTATTTTATATTCAAAAGGTTCTTTTCATTGTACAGATTATCACACGTGGATTTCCTTAAGGTTTGTTACATAGAGGTCATTGAATATGTTTACAATGCACCCCCCCTTGTCAAATTTACTTTAGCATTTTCCTTCATTAACCTTTTCTCTTTTTTTCTTTAATCTTCTTTTTAATTTCAGTTTCAGTTTCTTTCGTTCACTCAACGCAAATATTTTTTTTTTCTTTTTTGTTTTTGTGTGTTCTTCTCTGTTTTTGTTTTTTTTCCATTAATTTTACCCTCGAACTAGGTTTGACATGACTCGGTTATGGTCGCATGAGAAAAATCTATATCAAATTTACTGCAAGACATGTTCAGGAAAACTATCCGAACAAACCCTGTAAGAAGACATGCCCCAGTGATCAAACGAACGCATGCAGCGATTGCTGAAGTAACCATGCGGTAATAATGCGAGACAAAGGTTGAAGACGTTGCATAATTTTTGCCTTTGTACTAGCGAGTGTGATATAATAACGCCCAGGAGTTAATATCCGAGTGTTCCCCTAAAATGTACAACCGTAAAAACATGATACACAGCAATTCCATATCGCTAATTTTTCTTGGCAAAATATCGTATTGTGTATTAACAAACTTTCTTTAAACGAAGATAGATAGATAGATAGATAGATAGATAGATAGATAGATAGATAGATAGATATTCATAATGAAGTAAATAAATGTAATGCCTTATCCTTCTTCAGAATATTTGAACAAACCAATGCTTATGTCTGCACATGTATAGATTCAGTATTAAGAACGCATGCTTACATTGGGTGTACTCACTTACGGGAAGCTAAAGGAAAAATTAAGGGTAAAAGTTACAGGGTACAATGTCTGCGCCATATAGATTTTTCAGTTACAATATTCCCCACCTATCTGCGAGGAATATCTACCAAGACGCTCAAATGATGCCTAAAAACACGGATTGCATCAAATCCTACATATCCACATGCCTACACGTCAAAGAAAAATCTAAGTCACCAACAGATGAGGTGCACCAATCTTGAAAATAAATATATAAAATAACTTCACCTCAGTTTCTGTTTCACTCTCTCTCTCTCTCTCTCTCTCTATATATATATATATATATATATATATATATATATATATATATATATATATGTGTGTGTGTGTGTGTGTGTGTATAGCAAGTTTTACATGTTGTTTTAATATCCCAATATATATATATATATATATATATATATATATATATATATATATATATATATATTAAAAATATTTCTATACTTAGAAATAAAAAGAAACGTAACGTCGAACAAACTCTGGCATACGCCTCAACATCCAACAAAAACAATCCAGAAATATTCACAGAAATCGCAAAAAATCTAGACTTACTTAGCAAGAATAATAAACTGAATAATATACTAAAAACAACCAAAATAATTAAAAGCAAACGCCAATCTAAAAACCTAAAACGCATTAACCTCATCTAAATTTAACCAACACACAATACAGGGAGTCACAAAATGCAACAAAAAAGACGTGGGGTTTGTGACATCATTATAGAAGGAAACTCCTACACTTTTGAAAACCTCCCCAAAAAAACATTCACAATAAATAAAAACTTAAACTAGAACTCCAAAAATGTAATTTATGTACTTAAATGCACAAAATGTAAGAAGCCATATATCGGCATCAGCCAACAACTGAACAACAGGGTCTCCCTACACAAAAGCAATATAAAATTGACAGACAATAGAAAACTTTTTGTATCACAACACATCTTCAAATGTAACCAGGGTATATTTAATATTTAATATCATGCCGATATATCAAACAGACAATTATTCGTACCTACAAATACAAGAAAAAAAACTTTATAAACAAATTTAAACCCGAACTAAATAGGTCATAACCCCACACGCAAAAGCACACAACATGCACACAAGGTGACCAAATACAGTGATCAAATCACTAACATACATGAACGCACGCTCACATGAAGGCACACTCACATACAGGAGAGACATGGATATATATATATATATATATATATATATATATATATATATATATATATATATATACACACACACACATATATATATATATATATATATATATATATATATATGTGTATATATATACGCATGTTGACAAAACAGGGGAACTACTCACGAATACACACACAAACCCCACACAACTTAGGAATACGTGTGTATGTATGTACGTATGTGTATGTAAATGTGTGTATGTGTATCTGTATACTTGTTCCATGTAGCTTGGGAAGTATGTGTGTGTGTGTGTGTGTGTGTATGTGTGTGTGTGTGTGTGTGTGTGTACTGATTCCTTGTGGTGGGACGGTGTGTATGTGCGTATGTGTATGTATGTGTGTATGTGTACAAATGAGTTTACTAATTCCTCGTAATAAGACAGTATATGTATGGAGGAGGAATATACGCACGCATATATACACGCATGCTGACAGAAACACATGAAAATGGAAACAGATCCAAGAACGCACAGGGGTCAGTAAAACATTAAAAGATAAAATGTCGATAAGTAATTCATCATTTCTCTTGGACCAACCTTAATTGTTTTATGACCCTTCGCGCAGAACTCTTCATTGCCAATCCCAAAAAAAAGACATTCGGATTACCAACACAAAAACAGGGAATATCTCATATCGAGAATATTTAACATTGAAAAACATAAAGAAAAAATTAATTATTTTTAATAACATGTGAAAATCTCCACTTTTACCTGATGACGGTCGCGAGACCAGAAACTCGTGTAGTAAAATTATGGAAAATAAAACATAATATTTTTTTAAAAATCAACATTACAACCAAAAACGTTTGCGGCAGCTCTCTTCTCTTTTTTTAATATACATACTTTTCTCTCGTTGGAACCACTACAACCTCTTTCTTTTTTTATATATATATATATATATATATATATATATATATATATATATATATATATATATATATATATATAATATCAATATCAGGAAAGACGTATGTAAATAACACCGAGCGGCGGCAGTCAGTAACATGCTGGAAAGCAATCTTCAGTTTTGTTTCGACTATTTATTTGTGCTTGGTCGTGATGCATTATGGGTAACAAGAGCTATTTTATTAACCTAACGGCTATTGCAGAGACGGTAACGTTTATGTTTCAAATTATTCTAGAGGCTATCGAATAGAAATAATTGTGGATCTGAATGAGGTTATTTGTAGCTATTTTATAGTATTGTTTGTTAACTTTTTAATCATTATTCATTATTGATTACTTAGTTATTTTATTATTATTATTATTATTATTATTATTACATTTACTTGAGTTTATGTGTGCATTCATTGATTTTTTTATATTTTAATTTTTTACTTATTTATTTATATAGATTTTTTGTTTATTTCCTTCTTTTTCTTTATCTCGGTGTTTGGTGATCTTATTTGTTAAGCTTAAAGTAATTATTTAGATTAAAGTATGTTACATTATCTGCGCTGTATATAGTTAATATATTTGCACTTTTATAGTGGCATTTTACAAGGTATTCGTTTTTAGTTTTCGATTTTTAAGTAACGTAGTAAAACATTTGTTCTCGTGTCTGCAATTTATGTCATTTCAAAATAGCATTCAATTGAAAAGGAATGTCGCCTCTCATTGTTGACCTCAGTAGATGTGTGTGTGTGTGTGTGTGTGTGTGTGTGTGTGTGTGTGTGTGTGTGTGTGTGTGTGTGTGCGCGCGTTCGCATGCGTATGTTGGGGTGTGTTTAGTACTATACATTTTCAAAATATAGACCCTAATACCTATTTGTCAGAGTAGAAAATCATTAATTTGAGGGGCATATTATTTCACTGATAACGCAGAAGAGCCTATCGCCATGGAAAATGCCTGAAGTACCATGCTGCACAAAAGTTAACCGATCAGTCAGGTTCATGAATAAAATTGAAAATAAAAGCTATAAACTCCGCAACTGAGCTGCATTGGCGAAAGGAAATCTGTGATCAAGAAAAGACGTGTCAATGCTAATGTGGATGTAATGACATACCTGCTGTTCGATATGTAGTTTAATTTATAAAATAATCAAAATAAGAGAATTTTTTTTTAATCATTTCTCTCCAAGGTGAAGGATGAACTAATAACCAAAAATTGGTTCGAAAAAAAAAAAAATCATTTGATGAGATGGAAAAGAACTGGGAAGGACATAAATAACTAGTTAAGCTAAGAGAAAATGATTTTGAAAATGTAGTTGGACACTCTAAGACATACCCAATCGTCTGTAGCTTTGATCAGTTCCCTGCAAAATAGGATACAATGACAAAACGTAAGGAATTCTAATCAACACAGAAATAATAATAATGCAACAAACAGCAGAACGACTCAATGCACAAACACACATGTGCAATTGTAGTTTAGAACAACTATTAAAACTTAGAAGTGAGGCTCTATTGAGCGAGTTACACATAACCCCATCGATTGCATTGGGCATCGTCTCTAAATTAGACTCCCATAAATCTAGTGATGGAGACGGGATGCCAGTCATTGTCCTGAAGAAATATGCTCCTGAACTGGCTCATGTCCTCTCCAAACTATATAACTACTGTCTCAACGAATCCAGCATTCCAGCCTGTTAGAAACCCTCATCATTTGTACCTGCCTTTAAGAACTCTGGAGACCATTCTGACCAATCTAACTACCAGTCTTCTATCACTCTTCGGCAAAGTTTTCGAGGCTTTAATCAATGCTAAAGTGGTTAAACAACTTACATCCCAAGCAATATGGTTTCCGCTTTGCCCGATCTACCCCTGATGTGCTCACAGCCATAACTGAATTTGTTTACCAAGCACTTCACAATAACGAAGAAAATCGAGCTATTGTTCTAGATATCTCTAAAATGTTTGATAGGTTTTGGCATATCGGCTTTCTTCGTAAGCTTCAGGGATAAGGAATTTCAAGACAATTATTTGACTTAATGCAATCATTCTTGTCAAACCGTGAAATGAAGGCAGTCCGATAGGGGTTCTTCTCCAGTTCTCGTCTCACGAAAGCCGGAGTTCCCCAAGGCTCTATCCTGGTTCCTACACCGTTTCTGATCATCATTAGATCGCTCTGATGTCATCAGTTCCCAAGTATCCAATATCTATGCAGACGACATCTCTATTGACTCTTTCCTCAATAGCAAATCTAATATCGCTGACAAAACTAACCTTGCCGTTGGTTTTGAAAAGGACCTCCAATCTGATTGCTGACTGGGGCAGGAAATAGCTGGTTAACTTTAATACCTCAAAAACAACACTGCTCTCTTTTACCAACCACAGAGAATCCTCCTTGCCTCCCATTAGAATGCCTGATGCTCAACTCCACAAGAGCACCTCTCTATGCCCGCTTGGTCTCACACTGTCCGCTGACATGAGATGGAACAAATACATTGAATCAATAGCTTTATGTACCGCAAGGAAAGTTGGTTCTATGTGTCGCGTCAGAAAGTTTTTTCTCGCCTGAATCTATCTTTTTTTTCTTTTCTTTTTTTAAGCGTTTCACCCCAAGCAAGGCGGAAAGCCACTAGGACGCAAGGGGTTACAGAAGGAGGGATAGAGGAAAGGATGAGGAGAATGATAGTGGATAGATCAAGGCAACTGGAGATGTCGATTGACATTACATTTGAATAGTTAGAGATTATAGCTCTCAGGGAAACTGGAATAAGGAAGGGCGTTCCACAAGCGAGAGGTGCGAGACATGAAGCTATTGGAGTAGAAGAGACAGCTACATTTAGGAGTTTCGACAGTGAAAGGGTGAGAGCGGGATGCCAGCCTCGTAGGGCGCTTGAACTCATGAATTCTGGGAACCAGCGAATGCAGCTCCTCGGAGCAATTGCCATGAAAGTATTTGTAAAAAAGACAGAGAGAAGCGACGGCGCGTCTGTGAGAGAGTGACTGTAGACGAGATGCCAGAACAGGGCCAATTATATTGCATATCTGCTTCTGGAGCCTATCAAGTACCCCAAGGCCAAATGAAGGGGCTCCAGACCATATATGGCAGCAATACTCCAAGCACGGGCGAATTGTTGATTTGTAGATTTGGAGGATCGATTCCGGGTAGAAAAATTTCCTGGCGCGGCTAACTTTGCTTGCGATGGACGAAGCAATTGACTCAATGTATTTGTTCCATCTCAGGTCAGCAGTTAATGTGAGACCGAGCAGCCGCAGAGAGGTGCTCTCGAGAAGTTGAGCGTCAGACATTCTAATGGAGGGCAGGGAAGGATCTCTGTGGTGATTAATAGTGAGCAGTTTTGTTTTTGAGGCATTAAAGTTAACCAGTCAATTCCTGCCCGAGTTCACAACCGATTGGAGGTCCTTTTCGAGACGCACGGCCAGGTTAGTTTTGTCAGCGACACTAGATTTGTTTTTGAGGCAGAAGTAAATTCTGGTGTCATCCGCATAGATGCCAACTTGGGAATTTATGGCGACAGGAAGGTCATTTATGTAGATAAGGAATAGAGTGGGGCCTAGGATGGAGCCTTGAGGAACACCTGCGTTCGTGGGATAGGAACTGGAGGAGAATCCGTTGAGAACGACCTTCAATTCACGGTTTGACAGGAATGATTGCATTAGGTCAAACAATCGACTCGTAATGCCATAACCCTGGAACTTGCGAAGAAGGACAGCATGCCAAACCCTATCAAATGCTTTGGAGATGTCTAGGGCCATGGAACGAGCTTCCTCGTTATTTTTAAGAGCTTGGCAGACAGTTTCAGTAATGGCCGTAAGCACATTAGCTGTAGATCGGGCAAAGCGGAAGCCATATTGCTTGTCTGAGAGCAGATCATGGGATGTAAGGTCGTTAACCACTTCGGTATTGATTAGGTCTTCGAAGACTTTGCCGAAGAGGGGTAGGAGACTGATAGGACGGTAGTTAGAAGGGTCAGAGGGGTCGCCAGAGTTCTTGAAGACAGGAACAATCGAAGAGGACTTCCAGCAGTCAGGAAAACAAGATTCCTTGAGACAGTAGTTATATAGTTTAGAGAGGGTGGGCGCCAGTTCAGGCGCACATTTCTTCAAGATAATGGCTGGTATCCCATCTCAACCACTAGCCTTGTTGGGGTCTAAATTGGAGATAATGCCCAATACCAAAGACGGGGTTATGTGTAACCCACTCAATAGGGCCTCAGTTCTAAGATGGAAGTCGTGTATGGGTACACCGGAAGAGTCGAGCGTCGAGTTGAATGAAAATTTCCGAGCAAAGCATTCAGCCTTGTCGGCAGAGGAGGTCAGGACTTCGAACTGGTTGGACAAAGGAGGTATAGAGGGTTTGCAATTGTTCAATACGCTCTTGCAGAGACGCCAATAATCTTTGGAGCCAAATTTTGCGAGATGCGATACGCTCCTTCATCCGAGCAGCAAATAGTGACTTAGCATCGTTGAGGACACGCTTACACTCGTTACGGGCGGAGGCAAAGAGCCGTCTATTGCAGTCAGACATGTCGCTACGAAATAGGTGACACCATCCCAGGGGACATCGCGGAGGAAATCACGGAACGAGTCCCAGTCAGCTCGTTGATAGTATAACGAAGTTCTCGTGGTAGGAGGTTCTTTGCAGAGGGTGGAGTTGAAGGAGATGTTAACGGATACTACAGCATGATCAGAGTTACCAAGAAGGCAGAGTTGCGTGACGCTACAAGACTCGGGGCTGGAGGTAAAACACAGATCGAGAAGAGAGGCTTTACCTTAAATCAACCATTCTCCCTTGCATGGAATACTGCTGCCATATATGGTCTGGAGCCCCCGATATTCGTCTCAAGGTCCTCGACAAAACCCAGAGACGGATATGCAGTGCGAGTGGTCCTGATCTGGCATCCCGTCTACAGACACTTTCTCACAGACGTGCCGTTGTTTCCTTCTGTCTTTTCTACAAATTCTTTCATGGTAACTTCTCCGCTGAGCTATTTCTGCTAGTTCCCATGAATTTAAACGTGCTATTAAGTTGGCATCTCAGTCCCACCCTTTCACTGTCAAAACTGTTAAATGTATTCGTCTCTTCTACTCTAATAGCTTCATGTCTCGCACTTCCCTTGTGTGGAACCCGTTTCCACTTGCTTGCTTCCCTGATAGCTATAACCTTCAATTATTCAAATGCAATGTCAATCGACATCTTCAGATGCCTTGATCTAATTCCCCGTTCTTCTCTTCACCCTTTTCTCTTTTACGCCTCTTTACTCTTTCTCCCACTCTTTGTAACCCCTTTCGTGTTAGTGGCATTCCCGCCCTGCTTAGTGAAATGCTTAAAAAAAAAACTTACAAGAGATCACTAACTCAAAGTAGAACACCGTAATGGGGCACTAATTCTAATAGCCAAAGTGGTCATTCAATTGGAAAAGAGACAAGCAAAAAAGTAGTGGATGACAGATGAAATTCACGATCCAAGGAAAGCAAGTCAGCAATTAAAAGCAAGGAAATCCACATAATATAGATGTTAATCAAGCAAGGAAAGATATGAGCAACGTATTAGGGACGTTAAAATTAAGTAGATACTGAAATTTAATTCCCTGGATTGTGTCGTAAAATACGAAGGAAAATGTGATGCAGAAATCTAAAGGGAATAAACACAAGGACTCTTCTACAAAGTATTACGTAAAAGAAAATATAGTTAGAAACAAAGAAAAGTGTGCTGAACTGTTATATAATATTTAATCGTCAATATGTCAGTGAATATATTTGGATATATATGAGAATATATATATATATATATATATTAGGAAATGGACAAAGTCCGACAATTTATTTATTAACCTGCATCCTATAAGGCACGTCAGCGTAAATGACGGTTCCGTATAGGATGCAGGTTTGAATCCTGTCAAAGGACGAATATTTTCTATGAAAATTTCTCGGACATTCAGGCCGGTAAATGTTATTTAATACTGTTTATTATAACCGATCATTTACTTAAATACTTGTATCTATAAAAAAGAACGTTAAACATAAAAATGTCTTTAATAAATATATATATATATATATATATATATATATATATGATTGAATAATCAAAAATCTTTTTGCTTCATGTGGGGAATAGACTATTTCAGAAAACTATGAAAGTGGTCGTCTATCTTTTTAAACCCGATGTGGAATGAAGTTCATGTCTATGGGGATAAGTCGGAGTTAACTGTAAGGAAGTGATATTAGAAACTAAAGGGTCAACTTAAAATTTAACTGCCGAATATAACTAATATAGTGTGCATGCTTTTCAATATTTAAGGTAGACGATAGACACCACCAGACAAGGGTCAGGGCGGGTAGTAACTATCTATCTTAAAGGGGAGAATATGTATTAAATAGGTAAGAGAATATTTAACATATGAAGGCAAATCAGGGGCATAGTAATAGGAAAGAATAAATTTAAATTTAAAATTAAGTTTGGATTAAAAACTAAATTTTAAAATGATTTAAAATATATATATATAAGGTAAGGAGGATATAAGGGATTAATGGAAAGAGAATTAGGCCGACATTCTAAGTAGAGGAAAGTTTATAAATTATAATTAATATAGCATAAAAAGGTTTTAGAGGAGGTGAGAGTGGGGGAGATAAATTAAGGTAACTAAAAAGGCAAAATTACACTATGGAAATTTGAATTTGTTATTATGTCGACATTTAAAGATTTAAGGGTATGGAAGACGGGGATGATATATGGTAGCTAATTAAGGCGAAATTATATTATGGAAGTTTGAATTTGTTTTTATGTCGACATTTTAAAACTAATTCGTTCCTCGAACTCTCTTTTGTGGATCAATTTTAATATTTTTATGTTACAAAGATTAACTAGGATTAAAAAGCTACAGATTTATTTTAACTTTAACATATATATATATATATATATATATATATATATATATATATGCCCGTACTGATTAGATGCTTATGAATTTAGAGTTAACTGTTGGGAACGCCAAATTTAATGGATGTTTTGATGGAAACCTGACTGTGAATGTCTCGGTGCCTTTACAAAGATTAAGATTTTGGCTGGTTACCTCCGGAAATATGTAAAATGTACCCTCCTCCACAAAAAAAAAAGAAAAGGATGGAAAAGGAAGAAACTCGAGCTGGACCATCCCACTGACGTATTAGTGGGAGTGTTATCTTGATCTGCCTAGAAAAAATCAAATTCAAAACGATAATGTAGAATAGAATATTCTGGTTGTATTTCTTTAAATTTGGTCAAACATAGCATCAAGTAAACACGTCTGTCCATAAATGTATGTATCCCGTTACTTTCCTTTTCTTTTATTCTTTTTACTTTTCTCCTCTGCCATCTTCAGCCATCCTTTTTATGTTGTATCTCTTGCTGCTGCGTACGTGTAAACTCACACATATCTATCTATCTATCTATCTATCTATCTATATATATATATATATATATATATATATATATATATATATATAAAAATATATATATATATATATATGAAAATATATCGAATATAGAAAGGAACTGATTCGGTAAATAATCCAAAGTCCCTTAGTATTTTAGTTATTATTTTTTTTAAAATAGTGCTCGATACAAAAGTAGAGCATAAATATAATTATTTATTTAAAAATATGATTCGCCCTAGCTGTTACCATAGAAATTTTGATTTCAATTATTAAAACACGTAAATTTCAGAAATACGTTATTCCAAAAACAATTTTGCTTGAAGATGGAACAGAACTTACTTTAACTCAATTTAATTAAAATAATTATATTGAAGTTTTCGGCTCTTGTTTTGAAACATGAGACTTCTTATGTCGCGATTTGGAATCATATTTTTAAATAAATAATTATATATATATATATATATATATATATATATATATATATATATATATATATATGTACGTCCATACTGATAATATGCTTATTTAGTTCATTGTTGGAGTCACAGCATTTAATGGAGGTTTTGATGGAAAACTGACTGAATATTTCGATGCATTTACAAAGTGTTTGACTTTGGCTTTTTACCTTTGTAAAAATAAGAACGTATACTAGCATACAAACATGAAATTAGTTCAGTAGATATACAAAAATGGAAAGGGGTGAAAGGCAAGGATGTGTCTTCTCGCCGGATTTATTCAACCTATGCAGCGAGTTAGTTCTGAGAGAATTAGAAGTCTGACCAGGATTCATTATTGGTGGACACAGATTTAACATAAGTTATGCAGATGATACAATGTTGATAGCAAACACGGAAAAGAAACTACAAAAGCTCTTACAGAATGTATCGAAGAAAAGTGAGAATAAAAGAGCAAATATAAACTATAAGAAGACAAGTGTTGTATATGGCGAACGAATTTTTTTTTCTCTCCGTATGAGTTCGAATCCTCGTCGTCAAGTGTTGTATATGGCGAACGAATTTTTTTTTTCTCTCCGTATGAGTTAGAATCCTCGTCGTCAAGTGTTGTATATGGCGAACGAATTTTTTTTTTCTCTCCGTATGAGTTAGAATCCTCGTCGTCAAGTGTTGTATATGGCGAACGAATTTTTTTTTTAGTTGATGGGCTTGAGTAAATGGATGGTAGAACAGGATTTGGGAGAAATAACAGAGACAAAACTTATTAAGAGCTACAAGAGACAGGAAGATGTGGAGGGCCATGATAGCCTACGTCATGAAGGAACAAGGCACGTAAAAAAGAATGTTCTGTGTTCTAAATTCTGTCTGTTCTTTATCTTTGTCTATGTTTATCTACCTTCTGTCAATGTTCTCAGATGTTCGATGTTCTATTTTCTATCTCGCCTTTATTTTTGTAATGAGTTCGATCTTCACTAAAGACTCAACCGTGACTACAAATTTAAGTTATATTTAATAAAAATCATATTTTTGCCTATGATGCTAATATATTTTTATACTATTATTAAGTGAGGGAACAGTACACCAACAAAGTGAGATTGATATACAAATATAAGAAGCTCGATATACCCACAATAACATCGAGCTTGATAAAAGTATAAAAAGCACTTGCATGGCAGTCAAATATGCGGGGTATGGTCAAAAGTTTTGATAAAAACAGCGCATAGGCTTGAAGCTGAGACCCAGTAGAAATATCTTCATGTCAGGTAACCCGGTTAGCTCAAACAGTGCCCGGTGTTCCAAAATATCTAGATGTGACGCTTAAGTTGCCTTGGCTGTCTCAAAGTTCAAACTTGATTTCAATATAATAAAAAATCCTCTCAACACCTAGCCGTGATTCTCGCCCACTACCACCGCTCGTAAATGTTACAGTGCTTCAGCCTCTAGGGGATCTGTTTAAAGTCAGACAACTGACAAGGAAATCTGCAGTACGAGACGGGCTATTTACTTTAGTCCATTTTAATTCACCAAGACAAACAAGTACATGATAACAACTCCAATCACTTTAAAATCAATTCACTCCCAGCAAGGCGAAAATGCCGCTAAGACGCAAGGTGCTACTGGGATGGAAAGAGAATGAGAACCTGAAACTCAATCCTAAACATTAAACAAAGGAATAACTTATATTCCTGTTTAAAAGACTATGAATCGTATGAACTGGACGATAGACGAACCTATTTACTCCTATTAAAGATTAACAGTTATGAGACATGTCTGATTGTAGCATCAGATTATTTATTATTACTACTGCTATTATTATTATTGTTAGTAGTAGTAGTAGTAGTAGTGGTACTAGTAGTAGTATTTTCGTTATTAATGTTAACATACTACACTAGCCGAATGACAAATAGGAAAATAGAGAAAAAGAATGTGTCACACCAATCTTTTAAACGCAGACGTCTGATTGAATAGTTTGCCTTGAAAACAATTACTCGAAATCTTGTTTTTGACCTGAGATCAAATACTAAAGATTAGCAAATATGTCTCTATCTAAAAAAAAAGCAACAACGCTATATAACTCAGGCTTTCCTGATATTTAATCCATAGCTGGTGGTGAAGAGATGCGTACATACATTTCACAAAGGTATTTGTGCGTTAGTTATTGTCACGAACTCGACTGGAATCAGATCTCTGATTTCTCATCAATCACGCCTCCAGCATAGCCAGACTTGCAGCATCTGATATTCCCAAGCGGCCACCCATATAGGTACTGACAAGGCACGACGTTGCTTAAATCCGGTAATCGGACGATACCCATTGTTTCAACGTGATATATTCGTAAGCAGGCTAAATGCATATTAACACATCCATTTGTTACAATGTGTCCATAAACGTTTGATCTGAAAGTGCCCTGCATTCGTCAGGAGGAAAAGCGTTGCTCGCTTTTAAAACAACGCAAAGCTGTGAATACAGCACGAATAACACGACAAACATCTTTGGAACTCGGTTGTTCTGATCAACCCCAGCCGCCATATTCATTGGTCCTTCGGATTATGATCTTTTGCGATTGCTGAAAAACACTTTGATTGACAAAACTCTCTAATGAAAACAAGATTCATGAATTCATCGAAAAACTTTTCACATCAAAACCTGTGGAATTTTACTAAAAATGTATCGACAAACTACCTGATAAGTGGCAACAAATTGTTGCAGATAATGGTGAATTTTAATTAAATGTAAGTGTATTTCATTGTTGAAGAATAAATTTGATAAACAAAAACAAAAATTACTTAACTCTATCCAATATATGCTAACTGATGTAATATACAAATTTGCAAACTGGCACGCTACAGCAAATACCCTAGTGCGTCTCCTTGTTTATTTAAAATGTTAATAATTTTTTCGAAAGACTGTTTTTTTTTTAATTTGAAAATTACCATTTCATAGTTTGAGAAGAGTTACATGCAAAACTAGCTGAATGAATTTAAACGAGGATTATTGATCACTAGGTCTTTTTGAGTATTCAATATCAGACATTTTCTGGAACTTTAACAGCTTTATTTGCGTATCATATAATTTCAAATTTTACGTCTGGTATGTGAAATATGAATTCGTGTCTGAAAATATAGCCTGAGGACAAAATGAGTTGACTATCAGGCATAACAATTTTTTTGCGGTAATTACTAGCCAGTACATCGAATGTAAATTACCCCAAGTCATTTCAAGCAAAATTGTTGACACGTTCTTCTAATATGCAAAATAACGAAATAACTTGAACAGCAGATTTACAGATTAAATTTTACGCATTCATTAAAATATGAATGAAAAATCAGGCAACAGACAAAAATAAAGTAACATATTTATAAGATAACAATGTTTTATATAACCATGTTGACTGTGAAAGTTTCTCTGATCTGGTTGTTCACACCTTGTATCTAGTGAAGAAGAGATAACTTTTGAACGTGATTTGATCTGATTCAGAATGAGATGTGTCGTATTTTCATCATACAGGGCCTACTCCGATTTTAAAATTAAATTTATTGAAATAATGTAATATAGATAAAAGATATTTAGAGCTCCAAAGACTAGTCTCAATGTGGAGGGTATAGAGTTATATTTTACAATCAGAATTTGAAAAAGAAGATAATTATAAGATGTGACTCACACCAGAAGATACAAGAACAGACTTTTCACTCAGTGTCACACCAGACTATCAAAAATACCTGACGCAGGGTTGAGCTTAGGGATAACCTCCAAGCTAGGAGAGGAGATCGACGCTTAACCCATAGCATTAATCGACCAAGCTACGTCTGAGTTGTGCACATGCGAGAAAGAAATGCATGACAGATAGATTTTTCAGCACTCATTGTACTGATGGCAGCCTCTTACATTCACTTGAAGATATAGCATGTAAGTCTAGAGAGGAATCCTGGGGTTATATACACAGTGGCCAACGGTAGCTAAACAGAGTCTAGAGTCGAATAAAATGTATTGTTACGGAGAAGAGATTGAATTTCGTGCTTTCATTAGTAATGTCGGAAGATGTTTCAGCATTTTATATGCGCAAAATAAAGTAAATGAAATAATGACTTTTTGGTTATCTTATTCATCAAATTAGGAACTAACTTAGAAATTTGGGGATTTACAATTTGCGGTGCTTTAAAGTATGTTGAATACAAATTTTAGTTTCAAGTGTTCCGTAGTAAAGAAAATGTATTATAATAAATTCCAAGTCTTTTAAAGTTGGATGTCTTCGCCCAAAAGGAGTGTGTATTCGACTCTCGGGAGGATTGTGCCATACTGGCAATCATTCACGTGGTC